GATTCAGTATTCCAGGTGTGGTCTTACTAAGTGGTACTAATATCTCACATGATTTTGATTCTATGCCTCTTTATAGAACCAATTAGCTTTGTATTAACTTTTTCTGGCTGTTGCCACAGACTGCTGATTCATATTGAACTGATCTTCCACTAGGACTCCAAGGTCCCTCTCATAGTTAACTATTTTTGAGCTATCTGTTGAATTCCAGAACTTTCCTATTTTTTAAAATCAAATTTTAATATGGTATGAAAAATAATTGTAAATCAGTAACCTAATAATCATAACCTCATGATTATTCATTCTGTGTAAGTTGTAGTATTGACCATTAATTTGATGCCTTTAGTGGAGGAAAGATTTGGTAAAACCTGTTGGTACTGAAGAATCCATGATGTCTCCACATCCCTCCAAATGCCCGTTTTGGAGAACAGCCATGGGATGAGGCCTGGCCTCCTCTGTCTCCTGCTTCAAGCATCCCACCAGTTTCCTTGCTGTGAAAATCAAAACACTGGGCTAATTTGAGCTTTGGCCTGATCGAGCAGATCCCTTTTGATGTCCTTAAGACATAATAACTAACTAGAGTGGCTTTCAAACAGAATTGGATGAAGGCATGGAGGAGCCTCTACATTATCTCCAGATCGAGGACAACTCTCCCCAAATGTTACTGGAGAGAGATGAAGGAAAAGGGATGTGGTTCTCTGCCTCCTGCTTGCAAGTCCCTCGGAAGCTGGATGGTGGGAGAATGCTAAATGAAGACGGAGCTTGGGATGATTCATTCTTCTTACCTCCTTAGGTGAACACACAGCTGTACAGTCAGAAGGAAAAGGAGCAGCTATCGCAGCTGATCAATATTATGCTGACATACAATCTTACTTACCATCAAGAGCGGACTCCAGAAGGCCAGTACATCTATAAGCTTGACCCGTAAGTACTACCTTTTCAGGTAAGCAGGTAATTTTTGCATGGTTTCACAATTGTTCTCACTGGAAACGCAACATCTGGTGCAAGAGTAGCCTGCAGTGCTGAGTCCCTTGTGAAAATCAGACATGCCAGTGGTGTTGCTGCTGGGCAGAAGAACCGGCTGATCAAATGCTTCATGTTCAGATACACCAATGGTATTTCAAGCTAGCAAATGGGACGGTTGAGTCCTAGTTCCCTAGGCTTCCTGAGGATGTTTCAGGGTGAATGGAAAGCCAACCCTGCGGAGAAATCCCTCTGGTTTTCTAAAGTTTTATAAAGGCTGTGTTCAACATGACATAGCTGGAATCTGAAAGTGGTTGGGGTCTGTTCCATCAGTTCAGCTGCACGGTTGACCCACCCTGGAATATTTCACATACATAGGGATTAACTCAAAGATTCCTGGATATGGGCAGGAAGGGCTCTAATGACCTTATTGTGTAGGTTTGGGTGTAGTTCCAGCTCTTGTGCTCTTATTTCAGTAGGGTTTACAAAACCTTGTTGTGATCCAAATGCCAAATTGTATTCAAGTAAAAGTGTGGGTGTGAAAGGGATGGTTGGCTTTGTTAATGCTTTGGGTCTTGTTTCCTTTTACAATAATACTGCTGCCTCGGTTGCAAACCCCAGGAATGTGGAAGAGGTTTGTAGGTTTCCTGATCTCCCGTTTCGGAAACCGTTGACTTACCAGGCCAAGCAGCTCATTGCGCGAGAGATCCAAGTGGAGAAGATGAGGCAGATGGAGGCCCCTCGCCAGGTATTGCCTCCGCTTGGGGAGCCCCCGGGCACCATTGGCTGGCTGGCTTGGTGGCCTGTTCTGAGGAGTTAGCAGTTCGCCATGCTCGCCTTACAAACGCACCTTTGGACCGGATCTCAAAGTGTGAGATGCCTGTGCTAGGTGGCCAGCCTTTGGTGGCAATTCAGAAGAGCCAAGCTCTCGTTTCATTGCCTCATTTGCAAACAGAGAGTCCAAAGCAGGTGGCTGCACCTGCACCCGCCCATCCCCACCCCACTTTCCCCACCATGGAATTATTATTCATTATGATACAAATATCCTGAGGGCTTCTGAGAAGAAACATCCCCATGTTTCCTGGGAAGTGGGGGTGGAGTGCAGGGATCTTTTTTTTGCCCATCCCATTTCTTCAATCTGCCACTAACTCCCAGGTGTAGGTCCAAAGTGATCTGTGATGCATTAAAAGAGAACAAATACTTTTAATCTGCTCTTTTTAAAAAATAAACAATTTGGAGAAAATACACAATGGGGGCATTTTGGAATTGATCATAAACATTTAAATTTTAAGTCTAACAGTTCAAGATTACATACAGCTCTGGTAAAACTGATGTAATTTTCCCCTTGTTTCATTCTTCTCCCTCCTGAACACCCCAATGTTTCTCTGCTCTCCCTCAGGCATTAGAGGCCAGGTCACTCCCCACAGAGGCCAGCCGTGAAACGGGGACAGGTGGAGAATGCCGTAAATCTAGGATCAGGAACCACGAGCAAAGTCTTGACCAAATTGTGAAGAGAGCGACAGTTGAGGAAAAGGTGATGACCGTATATAAGAGCTGGAGGGGCAGGATGGTGCAGGATTGCAGAGTTTGGCCAAAGCGTGCATGGCCTTGTGTGTGTGTGCCTAAAAGTGTGCCTAATAGAAACCCCACACTTTCTTTGGCCTGAGAAACCATATGAGTTGCAGGGTTAAAGATTCTGGAATACATTGCTAGGCAGCTGGAGTTGCTGAGCTGTCAGAACGTCCACTAAGTAAGGAAACTAGTTCATGAAAAATTACAAATTGCAAATGAGAAACATGACTTCAGCCCCCCTAGAAACTAGTATAGTTTTTTTTTTATTGGTGATTTTTCATCCACTCAGAGTAGCAAAGTTGCTGATATAGATTGTTCTCAGAACTGATATAGTTCTCAGAAAACCTGGCCATGCCAAGGATGTATCCACAGGCTTAGGACAAGTTTGGAAGTGTTGACATGGTAGTCCTGAGGAGAATGGAGAGATCCAAGTTTGTAAAGGTGCTACTTGTAGAGATCAGTGGCCATTTTGCCAGTTGGTGAACCAGTTCTGCCAAAATGAAGGCCATGAAGTAAGGAACCAGTCATAACCCCTGATTCACCCAAGGAGGAAGAGTTTGTTCCAACCCTTGAGGGGCACCTGAGGGGCTTTTGGCTTTCTGGGCAGGGTGGCACGTTTCCCAACAAGGCATCAGCTTAAAGCCACCCATTTTGCCTAGAAACAACAGTGGGGTCTAGATGGAGTCTCGGGAGTATTTGGGAATGGAGATCATGAAGCTAAAGTTGAATTTAGCCTTGTACCCTGTCAATTTCCTATTTCGTTTTATTGTTGAAAAACGTAGAGAGAAATTCAGTAAAGAAGGTACCAAATTGGGTTCCTTTATGCCCCGGGGGCCCTGGTGGACATCCAGGTTCTGGCAGAGATTGTGAAATAGCTGCAGCCTGTTGTTTTTGTGCTGCTCTTTGAGAAGAGTAAACCTTTTGAGTGGGGGAGGGGTGGGGAAGAGTAGTTGCCGATGATCTCTGTTTCCCTCTTCCTCCAGCCAGAAAGAGACTTCTTTGGCCAGGTCATCCTCAAGAAAAAGGCAGCCCCTTCACCAGGTAAGATTGGGGCTGATGGGAAACATCCTGTCTGGGGAAATGGTGGGCTAAAGTATGGTTCAGCTCCCCCGTCAGACTGAATTTAAATGTCTCTTCAAGGAGAGAGCCCTCATGGGGAAGAGGAGTTGTTGGCTGGGCTCTTTCATTTCATTTTCATTTCATTTATTATATTTATATGCCGCCCTTCTCCCCCGAAGGGGACTCAGGGCGGCTGACAAATCAAATCTGGGAAGGGGGGGGGGGTACAGACAAAAAAATAAAAAACAAACAATACACAATTTAAAACACACAACAGTCATACCATTCGAGAACGGGACAACAGGGTGTGATACTCCCTTGCTCTCTGTTATGAAAGCCTACTGAGAATGATGGGAGAGAGCCAGTCCTTTCTAGCTTCCTTGGTTGGCCGTAGTAGCATTCACTGGGTTAGAAAGTGATTTTAATTTGCAGCACAGAAATTGTAGTTGTTTTGAGCTTTGGCCACAAGTGAAAGGATTGCTCAGCCCCAGGAAAACAGAAAGCCCACCTTGTCCCTGTGGTCTCCAAAAGCGGGGACAGCGAAAGTTGTGGATGAGATTTCAGCAGTCAATATCCTCTGCAACCATAAAGTAGCATTTCCTGAATCCCCTCCATGATGTTTTCTTTAATCTTTTAAAATTCTTAATAAAGTGCTGACAAAAACAATGAAAAGCTGGCAAGCCCCTTCAGCTCATTAAGTTAGTGGTTCTTAAACTTACAGTCACTATAAATGTATTGTGGTTATACGGACTTGAATGTTTTTCTGCAGTTTTTACTTGTGCTTTTTTATTGTGACGAATGCACCCCCAGTGAGGGACATGATATAAAAATATCTTTGATTTTCTGCTTTGATTTCTGATTTGATCAGGTCTGCCTTGAACTGAGAACCAGAGAATGGCTCAGGCTGGTTAAAGAAGGCAGCTCTAACTATGATTGGTGATCAAGGCTTGCAGCTTGATGATTCTTTGTCCTTGGGTTCTCCAACTTCACCTATCAAACTAGTAAATTAGGGTTATTTTTGCTATTGTTCCCCTCCAGAGCTGAAAAAATAACCTTAATCTCCCCTTCAGGTAGAACAAGTTGAAGAATCTAAGGACGAGGAAATCATCAGGCTGCAAACTTTGATCCCTGATTGTGGTTAGAGCTGTCTTCTTTAACCAGCCTGGGCATTCTGGTTCTCAGTTTAAGGCAGGCCTAATCAACCACCTCTTGTTTATAAGCAAGTCATATAAAGAAGGGAGAAAATTTTAGTTGTGTGGTTCTAGTATCCATTTTGACTTTATGATCACCAAAGCCCTTACAATACAATTTTTTTCTTTTCTTTTTTCTTCCTAGAAGCTGATCAAGTACTTGATAAAAATACAGTAGAAAAACAAATTGGAAAAGCTGTTGGGCAAAGTGATGTTTGGTTCCGGTTTAATGAAGGTGTTTCCAATGCAGTTCGGAGAAACATTTATATTAAAGATTTGTTCTAACATTTAAAAAAATAAAAAATAAAATAAGGGCATAAAAAATCAGGCAAAAGGAGAACTTTTTAATGTATTTTTTGGTATAAAATCCTATTTTGGAGTAAATAAAGACATGCTTAGTATTGCTTTATTTCATTTACAAACTTATTACACTCATGCAGTTTTTTACTGCAAAACTGTTTCCTAAAATACAAAAAAAATGAAAATGCTTATAAAATGTATGTTTATATCTAAAAAAAAGAAAGAAAGAAAGAAAGAAAGAAAGAAGACAGCAAACAAAATTAGAGTTACAAGAAAGAGCAATTGGTGGGGTTCTTAAGAAGGACTTTGATTCTGCTTCACTCTTTCTGGTTACAATTAATTTCCATTCTTTTAGTTAAGTGATTCAAAATAGGAAGTCTCCTCCATACAAATTTATCCCTCCCAGTGGTTTCCAAATCATGAACTGACAGGTTTAAAATAAACATACTGCAATGTGGCATTGGAGGCTCCCATCATTCTGTGCCAATGAGGATAAGCCATGTTCATCCTGGTTCTCTCCCACCACACAACAGATGGCCAGGCCACTCTTTCCCCGTGAGGATAATCCGGCTTTCTGCAGGACAACCCCTTGGAAGCAAACCCACAGCCAGGATCTGGGAGACATTGCAAACACAGTGCCATCAGACTTTCAGAGGGAACAGCTGTGGGAAAGCCCACCTTCAGAGCCCCTTGTGCACAAAGCTGGATCTCCACTTAAGCCACACCCACCCCAAGAGTGCCCCAGAGACCAATAATTGGGAAGCCTGTAACACAGTCCTTACATAAGGCCCCAGCACTAACAAAGGACTAGGAATGAGAATTTAGCAAGAGTGGCAAGCAAATAACTTTGGAGCCTTCTGTTTATGCAAATTTGGAGCATATCCAAAGGAAAGCATTTGTCAATCAGGGATGGTGCTGGGCTAAGAATATGGACTAGAGGATTGTACATTTTCCTCTTTCCACCCAGGGGTTGTTTTTCATGCGTTCTGGGTTCAGAAATGGATCTTCTGGGATCCCATCCTCAATCCATTTAAGGAATCTACAAAGGAACAGAAAGCAAGATCTCTCACTGCTAACATCCAGTGTTATACTTTGAACTCTTGTTATACAGATTGATGAAGTTATCATCTCCAGGAGTAAAATTCTCATCTTTAAAAAGTGTTGTTAAATTACTTATAAATACAAATGCAAGCAGGAATTTACAGGAAAGTCATGAGAAGTTATGAGGAGGAGCGGCAGAATTTTGTTTCAGAGCCTTAATTTTTTGCACATCCACATCATTCATACGAATCTCTGGATGGCTGCATTTGGTATAATGGTATTTGAAAATCTCCAAAACTCAGGAAATCTCTTGGATACTTTTCTGTAATAATCTCTTCTGCCATCACAATAAGATATTTTTTTAAAAGGTAGTAAATCTGCATGTGATTATTTTAAAAACAGTTATTGAATAAAAGCATGTATCATGATATCACAAAAGGCAGGAGATTTCTGGATGTAGAATGTGAACAATGTATTCTCCTTGCTGCCCTCCATCCCTTCTTCCCCTGAGCCTTTGAGTCAAACCTGGTTCATACAGGTGAATACAGGTCCAAGCAGTTTGCCTTCTGACACATTAACAAACCCAGCTGGCTTTATGTCTAAAGGGATGCTGGAAGAGAATGACCAGTGTTCTCTCTGCTAGTCTAGTGTGTTTGAGCGCTACATCAAATCATCTTTACTTTTGTATCAGGAGGAGGGGAATTATACTCTGAAATGCACAGCAGAGGTGATTTCTTTCCAGAGATGTAAAATAATGCCAGCAGTGGAATTCCCAGCCTGATTTCTCTGCACGGAGGTTTATCAATAGGTTATTCTGATCAAAAGTCATCATCCGACTTGGTTTGGTTTACTTCAACAACCAGAATGTTGGAGAAACTCAAAATATGGCCTGGGTTTGCCAAATTTCAGGCTGGATCTTTCCAGTTCTAACTGGAAATTAAATCTGGAAATGTAAATGTGCAGATCCAGCCTCCATGTTAACTTGTCTCTCCTCATTTCCCAGGTTTGCATGGAATCCTGCTCACCAAATGGGTAGAGTTCACAAAGTGTACTAATTGCAAATCACCAAAAAACCCAACTGTGTTTGAATGCAACTGTTCATTATTTAACTGGTCGAGTTGTACTGAACATAAACAAAAAGACTGATACATAATAATTGGAACAAAAACTGAATAATCACAATTCCTGCTAGCCCCTCTCCCTCTTATTGCACATTTCCCACTCATTTTCAAGCCTTTTCTCTGCAACTTTAGGGGCTGGAAACTCAAGGGTTGTAACATTCTAGTTCTCTACACCAAACAGTATCTGGTGAACTCACTCAGGAATTGTTTTTGATGACACCTCCCGCTTGTAAGCCAACTGATACTTAAGGCTTTCAATTTCCTTTTTCCACTGGGGGGGATCCCACTCATCCATGGAGCCTGGCCTCTGTCAATTTTTTGATCAAGGAAGGAGGAGAGACGCCTCTCTAAAGAGAAAAACAAAGGAAAAAAGGATTCAGTCGTCTGGAGGGATTCCTGTCGCAAAGAGCTTCGGACGAAAGGTACTGCCACTACCATCAGGTTTTTTGCCTGCAATACAGGAAGCCTGCACACAATTGAGTCCAAAATTTCTGTTTGCTAAGTGAAGTATTTCTTAAATAAACTTTGCCCTCTTTTACAACCATTCTTGCCATGGTTGTTAAGTGAGCAATACAGTTAAGTGAATCTGGCTTCCCCAATGACTGTCAGAAAGTCGCAAAAGATAATCACATGACCCAGGGACACTGCAAGGGCCATTTTGATTCATTTTTGACTTGTGTTTATGACGGTTGTAGTTGCCAAGGTTGCCAAGCATCCAAATTTTGATCACATGACTAGGGATGCTGCAATGGTTGTAAGTGTGAAAACGATCATAAATCACTTTTTTCAGTGCTGTTGCAACTTTGAATAGTCTTTAAATGAACTGTTGTAAGTCGAGGACTGCCTGTGTAGGCTAGAGATGAAGTCAAGATTTAATGCCAAAGGGCACCTTGGATTCACTATTAATTTCCATCATGGATGGATTTAACAGTACAGGTAAATCCTTGAAGTATGACAACAATTGAGCTCAACATTTCTGTTAAGTGAGAGTTGTTAAATTGTTACATCAATTTTGCCCCAATTTACATTCTTTTTTTGCCACAATTGTTAAGGGAATCACTGCAGTTATTAAGTTAAGGACCTGGTTGTTAAGTGAATCTGACTTCCCCATTGATTTTGATTGTCAGAAGGTTGCAAAAGGGGATCACATGTCTCCTGCGCTCCTCCTGCTTTTGGCACGTGATGGCAAAAAGGTTAGCCATCACTGCCCTAGTGTGACTCAATGTCCATTTCTTTCATTTAAAGGTTATTGAGGTTACAAAGTGACTCCAGCATACATACATCCAATATTTCAAAGGCTTGTCCCCAAGATTCCCTGGGCTAACTGGGAAATAAAGCTCTCCCACCTCACGATTTGCATCATTTATCTGGTGGCATTAGCATTTAACTAACAAATCCTTCTAAAT